CATTTCATATATATGCAGGTTTGCTACTAGGCTTGTTGGTATCAAGGAGAATGCAAAATTTCAAAAGAATGATGAGAAGGATACGCAAGTCTCAGGATTAAAGAGTGTAGTCGACAATGCGAAGCAGCGCCATAATGTGAAGTATGTCGTTTTTTCTTAATTTCTAACATGCTGATATTCAAGCTGATATATTTTTTAATCACAACATCGACCAAGTGAATAAAAACCATTGCATACTTACATGGCTTGACTCCTCTCTCACAGGCAAGTTTATGCGTGGCATGCTTTAGCTGGATACTGGGGTGGAGTTAAACCCGCTGCTTCTGGAATGGAACACTATGATAGTGCACTAGCATACCCAGTTCAGTCCCCAGGTGTATTAGGGAACCAACCAGATATAGTAATGGACAGCCTCGCTGTTCATGGTCTCGGACTTGTCAACCCGAAGAAAGTTTTCAACTTCTACAACGAGCTGCATTCTTACTTGGCTTCATGTGGTATAGACGGAGTAAAAGTTGATGTCCAGAACATCATTGAAACCCTCGGTGCTGGTCTTGGCGGGAGAGTTTCTCTCACTCGAAGCTACCAGCAAGCTTTAGAAGCTTCCATTGCCCGAAACTTCACAGATAATGGTTGCATATCTTGCATGTGTCACAACACAGATGGACTATATAGTGCTAAACAAACCGCTATTGTTAGAGCATCTGATGATTTCTACCCAAGAGATCCTGCTTCTCACACCATCCACATTGCATCAGTTGCATATAACAGCCTTTTCCTTGGAGAGTTCATGCAACCTGACTGGGATATGTTCCATGTAAGTAATAAAGAGAAATTAGATGTCTTTAGTATTCTTTAAGAAGCATGAGTTCACTTGTAACCGAAGCTTTGATGTTTTCAGAGTCTACACCCAACTGCAGAGTACCATGCTGCAGCACGTGCAGTGGGTGGATGTGCAATCTATGTCAGGTAAAAGCCTTCTTCTCAATGCTTTAACTTAATTCCTTGTTCTGACTAGGTGATGTTTTGGTCCGAGATTTTAACTGGAGATATATTTATATGACAGTGATAAGCCAGGCAACCATAACTTTGATCTATTGAGGAAGCTGGTTCTTCCCGATGGTTCAGTTCTTCGTGCTAAGCTTCCGGGTAGGCCTACCCGTGACTGCTTATTCGCAGATCCAGCTAGAGATGGAATCAGGTTTGCCTGTCTTCTAAGTAACTATTCTCTTCTTTATTTTCTACTCGTAAGCTGAGCCTAACACTTGTGAAAACTGAATTGTTTCAGCTTGCTCAAGATCTGGAACATGAATAAGTTAACTGGTATGGTTGGTGTGTTCAACTGTCAAGGTGCTGGTTGGTGCAAGGAAACGAAGAAGAACCAAATACATGATACTGCTCCTGGCACACTCACAGGTTCTGTCCGTGCTGATGATGCTGATCTCATTTCTCAAGTGGCTGGTGAAGATTGGAGTGGAGACTCAATAGTCTACGCATACAGATCAGGTATTAAAAAATCAACCAATCCACAGTCCCCAGACGTAGAAAGAAACTCAAACATTACAGATCATATGCTTAACAAGATGAGCTTGAATTTGATTTACAGGGGAGGTGGTAAGACTACCAAAAGGTGCTTCGATTCCTCTCACTCTCAAAGTCCTTGAATACGAACTCTTCCACATCTCTCCTTTGAAGGTACGTTAAGTGTTATATATTATTACCTACCTTTTCTTGGATTGATAACAATTTAGAGTGAATCATAATGTGAGTCTTTTTATGTTTGGAAATCTGGCAATACAGGAAATCACATCAACCATCTCGTTCGCACCTATCGGACTTGTAGACATGTTCAACTCAAGCGGGGCTATCGAGTCGATGGAAATCAATCCCGTGACCGACAAGAAACCGGAACTCTTCGACGGAGAGGTCGCCACGGCTTCTCCTGCGCTCAGTAATGAACGTTCACCAACAGCTATGATATCTCTAAGTGTTAGAGGCTGTGGTCGTTTTGGAGCTTACTCTTCTCAGCGTCCACTAAGATGCGCCGTTGAAAGCACAGAGACTGATTTCACATACGACGCGGAGGTTGGACTTGTGACTTTGAATCTGCCGGTGACGAGGGAGGAGATGTTCAGATGGCACGTCGAGATTCTGCTCTGAGGCGGAAAGCTTCGGTTGTAGTTTTGGCCTTTGTGGGGGATATTCTTTCACCATTGTTGTCGTCATTCATCATTTTGTAGAATAAGTTTATTCTAAATAAATTAGGAAATTACAGCATATGGTTCTAGTAGTAACGTAATGGCCTGATGTAATAATCTCCCTGTAGTTTTGTATTAATAATATATTTCTTTTCTTACGAATAAATTGTTCCTTAAAATACCTAATCATTTTTTCTTTTAAATAAACTGATAAAGAGGGTAATGTTTTGTTCTTTTTAGAATTGGTTGGTAAGTTATTTTACAAAATCTGATTGTCTTAACCAAACACACCCCTTTTAGTTGTAAATTTATACATACAAATTACAAAGAGGAGGGTGATGACATATCTAAAAAATTATGAGCATCCATGTTGAGTACGTAATTTTTAAGAGGACGGTCAATACGAGTAATGATGGCAAGTGCGTTCTATGATTCATCGACTTTATCAAACTTTCCATATATCATTCACATCACACGAAACTCGCAGATATTGCCTTCATATCTTGATTGTTGTTAGCAAAACACACACGAACTCAAATTTTATATACTCTGTTTTTGTTAAAAAAATAGTTTCCTTTAGGCCTAGACACCACACCACTCACAACCTTCTTACATCTATCATAAACATGTACTACTAGACTATATGGAACATAGTAGAACATTGAAATATCAGAATATTTAAAACCCCAAAAAACATTAAATTAGGTCAATCAATACACACACAATCAAACCCGAAACGATGCACGGAATCCTATAGCATTCAATTTTTCAAAGGCACATGTCTTTTCTATCTTTCTCAGATCAATTTTGAAGTTTTTCTTTCCTCAATTAATTTGCTCTTTTACCAACCCCAGTCACCAAATAATTTAGAAAAACTAAAATGGTAAGATGAAAAAAAAAAAACTGTTCTATTGACATCCACGAAAACGATGAGCAAGTTGGATCCTAACCATTAATTAAGAAAAATACAAAAGAGTTAAATTCAAAGAAGGAAGCAATAACTACGTAGAAGTTGTAACAACGACTAGATAATTTTCCAAAGATATGACTTTCGAGTTTCAACCATACCTTTAGGTCTCGCAACCAAACAATCCAACGCACATGCCTTTTTTTTTTTTTTAACTTCTGCCAATCTTTACACCATACGTATACATAGTTACATTAATTCATCGATAATTACATCACCCAACAATTAGATAAAGTATTCGTATAAATTATAATAAGGATAAGTATGTGATTTTTGTGCTTACTATAATCGATCCGAGCATACGAATATATTTTATGCGCATCATTAAACAAGCCCTTCACCGTTGTTCTTTTTTTCACCGTTGTTCTTGAAGTCCCATGCATCGTAAGCCGCAATTTACTTTTTAGTGATGATATTTTTTAAAAAACTATACAGAAAAACACCTTGAAATCATTAAAAATGCGACACACAAAAAAAATCAATAACAAAGAATTTTAAAGTGATTTTACATATATATATATATATATATATATATCACTAGTTCATATACAATTCATAACTAAATTTCCAAAGTGACTAGGAATTTTTATATATTTTGGTATCAAATTTGTATTTAACTTCGTGGTTATAAATATATATGGGTTGATAACTAATCAACCATCCGAAATTGTAAGAGACGTGTGGTCAAAGAATTCGAGGCTGATATTTTCATCATTTGGGAGTTGAAATGCAAAGTTATTACCAAGTAGTACTATAAACTTAACTTCCCGACGAGATACATCATGCATGCTGACATATCGTTGTAACTTTTCATTTTTTTCACTCATTATATATTAGGCAATTTCCGTTTACGTATTTACATTACTAATTTGAATTTGGTATTTTCACATTATATTTCGGCGGTTCATATATATCATCCTAGACGAAGATAATTAAAGGAACTTTACTATTTAATGTATTAAATTCAATTAAGTGTTGATGACTGACCATGACTCCAGTTGATTAAAATTCCACAATATGTATAATTAATAACCTGCACTTTTTAAGTGGGATGCTTGTACTTACTTCTTATCTCACGAGTGCACCTAACGATTTCATTTTGGTAAACAAAATAACAGATTGGCTTAACGAATTAGATGATTCAGATTTACTTTAAGAATGGATTCTTAGGGTTGAGACATTTCTACGAAACTTATTATTCACATCTATTAATGTAAACGTTATAAATCCGAAAATTATCCAAAATATCATCCCCTATATATCTCTTTAAATACTAGTTTAGATTTTGGTTTAACATATTCCGTCTATGAATTTTTCTGGAAATTTTGTTGTGAAAGATATATACTAGGACGGGTATAATATGAAAATCACACAAATGTAAACGAAAGGAAGGATATGTATTCCCGAAACTATTACCAAACTTTGAGAGACACACAGGATATGATGATGCAACGACGTTTTCTTGTCACTTTTGTTATTTTCTTCTTTTCAACTTTTGATATTTATGTATGGATATACATCACGCCCTGCTCAGCTCAGTAATTACACATGATGAAATTGTTACTGTGAATGGTATACGACGAAAACAAAGTAAACTCTTTTTCTATTAATATATAGAAAAAAGGAAAAATAAAGATAGGGGTAGAGAGGAGGTGAGATTTAATTAGAAGCTTAGAGTGATGTTTTCGTATCAATCTCAATCTCTCTCCATACCTCCAACGCCATTAAAACTTTTTTGATAACCTAACTTTTTTTATCTCCTTTAGTTTGCCTATAAATAAACACGCCTCCCACTTATTCAATTTCATATTACACAACCCCAAATAAACAGCAAACATTGATTCTCATCTTAATCACAAGAAACAAAAACACATTTATTCTTTTATCGGAAGACGAAAATCTGAAATGGGCCGTTGTTATCGCGGAGTGCTTACTCTTTTCTTCACCGTTCTTTTGATGCTCTCGCTGTGCCAAGCTTTTAGTAGTAACGTTGTTGATGATGGATATGGTCACGAAGATGGAAGCTTTGAATCCGACAGCTTACTCAAGCTCAACAACGACGATGTTCTTACCTTGAAAAGCTCCGGTGAAACCACTTCAGAATCCTCAACTGTTAGCGTTTCCAATTTCGGAGCCAAAGGAGATGGAAAAACCGATGATACTCAGGTAAGTATATCAAAAATATGTTTCCATTTTTGGATAGAGACTTTTTTTTCTATATCACAAATTAGTTATGGTTTCTAATTGTTTGAAGAGATGTTACGGATCATATATTTAGAAGATGAAAAACACAATATAGATATACTTTATTTGGTATTGATGATGCATGCATGCATGGGTGTAAAATATATATGTGTATACTTAGGCCTTTGAGAAAGCATGGAAGAAAGCATGTTCAACAAAGGGAGTTACCAATTTCTTGGTGCCTAAAGGAAAGAGTTACCTCCTTACGTCTACTCAATTTAGAGGCCCGTGCAAATCGTTGCGTAACTTTCAGGTAATATATAGTTTTTACTCTTTTAAAATACTTAAAAATCACTTTTTAGCTTGACTTATAGAGTTAATGTTTATAATTTTTCTTATATATATATATATATATATATATATATATATATATATATATAGTTAATCTTTTACTTAGTTAATCTTTTACTTATCAAATGCAGATCTTAGGCACTCTATCAGCATCTACAAAACGATCGGATTACAAAGACAAATACCATTGGCTTATCATAGAGGACGTTAACAATCTATCAATCGATGGCGGGTCGACTGGGATTATTAACGGCAACGGAAAAATCTGGTGGCAAAACTCATGCAAAATTGATAAATCTAAAGTATGTACATTTATTTTCATATAAACTTATCTAGTACGTATATATATATATACTAGTATACTTTTCATCATGCTAGTATCAATTGGCTTCTTCTCTCCTTTTTGACGCAGCCATGCACAACAGCGCCAACGGTACGTAAAAACGGGAAGCTTCACAAAATTAGTATATAACTAATATCTTCAATTCTAGCTAAACTGAACGTTTGATTAGAAAATTGGCATGCATGTGTGTGTTTTATATATGCAGGCTCTTACTTTATACAAGTTAAATAATCTAAATGTGAAGAACTTGAGGGTGAGAGATGCGCAGCAGATTCAAGTTTCGATTGAGAACTGCAACAATGTTGACGTTAAGAATGTTGCCATCACCGCTCCTGGCGATAGTCCAAACACCGATGGAATCCATATCACCAGTACCAAAAATATTCGAGTCTCCAAATCAGATATTGGAACGGGTAACGATATATTCACACACAAGGGCTTTTACGGTGTACTTATATCACTTAATTCATATATAACTTTTTTTTTTTTTTTTTTTTTTGGACAAACACTTAATTCATATATAACTATAATATTATATATGTGCTTGGTTGCTTTTTATTTATATATATAGGTGATGATTGTATATCCATTGAGGATGGAACACAAAATCTTCAAATCAGTGATTTAACTTGCGGCCCAGGTCACGGAATCAGGTTAATCAATACACATTCAATATTAAATTTTAATAGCTACATACTACATATGAATGAAGGTAAATATATATAGCTAATATCGATCTTTTTTTTTTTCTTAATTTGTTTTGATGAGTAGTATTGGGAGCTTGGGGGACGACAACTCAAAAGCTTATGTCTCAGGAATTTATGTGGATGGTGCTAAGTTCTCTGAGAGTGATAACGGAGTTCGGATTAAGACTTATCAGGTGACTTATTTTATTGTTTTCACAAATTAAACATCCTCACTCACTAATTAAAATGTTACAAACCTCTTGAATCTGCAGCAATTTGTTTTAAAATTTTCAAAAATTAAACAACCATCCTTACTGATTTCAGGGAGGATCAGGAACTGCCAAGAACATAAAGTTTCAAAACATTCAAATGAAAAATGTCAAGAATCCGATCATAATCGACCAGAACTACTGCGACAAGGCCAAATGCGAAGAACAAGTAATTGTTTGATCGATAGATTTTAATTATAAACCATTAATTGATATTAGTTTTTCATTACTAGACATGCCTTCTGTAGCTAGAACTGATGAAAATGCGAAATATATGTAATTAGGACTCCGCCGTGCAAGTGAAAAACGTGGTGTACAAGAACATATCCGGTACGAGCGCGACGAATGTGGCGATAACTTTGAACTGTAGTGAGAAGTATCCATGCCAAGGGATTGTGCTTGAGAACGTGAACATTAAAGGAGGAAAGGCTTCTTGCAAAAATGCCAACGTCAAAAATCAAGGCACCGTTTCTCCTAAATGCTCTTAATTAATTACTGAGCCAATAATGTAACATATACATATTTATACATAGATACATGTATGTATATTGCAATCTATACGTATTGCTTCGTAATGTATGTAGTAAAGATGTGTGGGTATACTAACATAAAGTAGTCGAAAGATTTGTTGTCTTATATATTATACTACTGTGGATTGTTTGTATTTCCATGAATTAATAAATTAATAAGATTATTTGTCTAATATTTTGATTTAATTATTATAAGTAAGAAAACATGAAAATGCTAATTTATTTATACACAAGTGTGTTTTCCACCTTTGCTATCGTACACTTTAGAGTGAAATAAGATAATGCATGTTAAATCCCAAAATTAACCTAGTTTTCAGTGAGCTTTAGCATTGTGGCCTACTTTACATTCAAACGACATATCCTAATTGTTTCTATATATATATATATACTTGTATGACACTGTTAAATCCTGGTCATAATTACGAAAAGGACTGGTATATTTTGTGTTTTTGGCCTACATTGCTAAAAGACCATTGTGTCTTGATATATCCCTATATTAGTAAAAGATAAGTACAAAAAGTGTTTCTGGGTTGAGTCAATTTCAAAAAATTATCCGAAATTTGTAATTGGATCTTTTAAAATTGGATAGATTAATGGGTTTGGATACATACACCGGATACTTTCCAAATCTAATTTTATGATTATATTATTTCCATAACTAATTATAAGATTTACTAATATTTCTCTAACTAATTTAATACAATCTATTTAAAAATATTATTCTTCTTTCACTTTTATTTGATATTATTTTTAATTTATGATATTATACTATATAATATAAATATTTAATAAAAATTTAACTTTTTTTGCATATGTTGCAATTTGAATTTTTCAAAACGGACATATAATACTCAACTACACTCGGTTAAATATTTTGGACAACGGTTTAAAATCATTATAAGTATGACCAATATTAAAACCATTGTTACATGATCATATTTAATATTTCAAATAGTTTCAAAATATTGTAAATAAAAGGTTCAAATATATAAAACTTTTTAGAATTTAAAATATTGTAAAAGTTTAATAATGTAGGCCAAAACCTAGGTCAAAACGAGTTACGAATAATGTTTTTTACGAAATGAATTCTGTTACGGGTTGGACTTTCAAAAAATATATTGTAAATATGTAACTTTTACGTATATTCCTAATTTTACTACAAAAATGGCCAAAATGAATAATTTATCGACAAATATTATTTCGTGCTGTTAAATTTTCACCGTGTTTTTAATTGTATCAAAACTCAGTATATGATTATTTACTCGCTTTTTCCTTAATTATTTTATTTAAACTTATTATAAAAATATATGATTTACCGTAATCGATTGCACTCTAACAAAATTAAAATGTAACATATTCTAATCCGATAAAAGTTATATATATGTAATTATTTCCCCCGCGCTGTAGCGCGGGTCCGAACCTAGTACTTTTTATGTGAATATTGTTCTTCTGATTGTGTGTTTGCTATATATGAAAAACAACATGAGGAAAAAGTAAAGATTGATGTTTTGTTTTGTTAATGCCGTTGCCAAATCTCAACGGATTTATTTTATTTAAAGTTAAAAAAGTTGACAATACAGGACTTTGCTTTTCTTTTTTTTTTCTTTTCTTTTGAGAGAAATAAATAATAATAATCAAAAACATCCGAGGAAATTCCGAAATCAATGTCCGTAAACTAAGGTACATAACCAAAAAAGAAGAAGAAGATGTTCTTCAAGTATGCGGTTTTTAACCATTTTGTAACTTCACTTCTTGGTTTGCTCTTCGGCTGCTGGCTTACTCTGCTCTTCCGCCGTTGATGCTGGCGGCGGAGGCGGAGGTGGAGCTGGGGGGGTGGCGGCGAGAGTAGGAACACCCGCATCGATGCAGCTACGACACTTTCTCTCGACCCAACCTTCTATGTCGTGGTCTCCGCCGTCGGATAAATGGCGGCCGCCGCAGAGCCGAGCGATGACTCCGGCTAAGACGGATAAAATGGTAATGACAGCCAAGACGACGACGAGTGTTTCTATTGAGCGGTGGTCGGAGTTGTGACTAGGCTGGTCTTGGGAGGGAGGGTCTATGTAGATGGTGGTTGGTGTGGTTGTGGTGCCGAGTTGGTCATCGAGCCTTCCCGTGACAACTCCGAACATGAAGAGAGAGTGTGAGAGAAGAGAAAGCTGAGAGAGGGAGAGAGAGAGAGTTTCAGGTGAGCTTGTGGGGGGAGCAGCAAAAGGTTTAAAGACTTGAAGAAGTAGTGTGACTAGGGAGTGTGGTTAATTATATCGGCTTTATAATAAAAATAAATTATCCAATTTCCTTTCAAAATAGAAAACATCTTTATAACTTTGAATACTAAAATAATCTTATTGTAATTATGATGATTTAGTTTTTCCTTTCTTAATGTATGATTCAATGTAGTACTCTATTGGTTCCTACTTCATATTTACAAGGTTACTCACAAGTCACAACACTCACGATATCTAAAATAAAATAAACTATGAGATAAATTAAATACTATCTATACTATTGAGTTTTTAAAAAATTAAATAAGGTAATATCCTAAAAAAAAAAACTAAGGCAATAGTATTAGATTTGAAAAATTGAATATTGCAATTCCCAATTTTGTCCTCAGTGTGTGTAAACTAAAAACTAAAAAACCAAAGCCACATGCATTTGGTTAAAACGAAGAGGTGTTTGTTTTGTTGTCCCCATCACTAGACCACCTCTCTCTCTCTCTCTCTCTCTGCCACTTCTACTCTCTGGCTGGCCTATTTGAGTCCTCCTCTTTGACTCAATGAACCATAATTTATATATCTTACAAGTTAAATGTGGTAAATCATTCATGACTGTATATGTATAGATTTATTTTTATCCATGAACTCACTAGTAACTATTTTTAGAATTTTTTGTTGTTGTTGTGGTCTTGTCTTTTTATTTGTCTGTAGAGTTTTGGCAGGCGATGTCAATGGTGGGGTTTGTTCATCTTGTTCTATCTCTCTGCATCTTCTTTTTATTTATTTTATATATCACTGTGTCAGGCTCAGCTCAATAATGTTATTCAGCAAAGGAAATTAATATGTATACACAACAAACGAAAAAAATCTCCAATATATTTATGAGAAAAATCAAGAAAATCAAGAAACTAGGGCAATAACTGACAAAAAAGCAGTCCATTCCACGAATCATCTGTTGGGCCTATCTTTATTATTGGGCTCATAAACCCAATTAGCTCATTTGGTCTTCAGTCAAGCAACCCTAATGTTCTCTTGTTCGATTTGTCTCAATATCTAGAATAACAAATTTTTGCCGCCGTTTCTCAAGAACACTGTATCGAATCTCCAGCTATTATTCTAAAGCACAATCGAGCGCATTGACAATGGCGGAACGCGGTGGTGAGCGTAGTGTCGAAGGTGGTGGTGATCGCGGCGGTTTCGGACGAGGATTCGGCGGTCGCGGTGGTGGAAGAGGCGGTCCGAGAGGCCGTGGTCGCCGTGGAGGTCGTGCTCCGGAGGAAGAGAAGTGGGTGCCGGTGACCAAGCTTGGTCGTCTCGTAAAAGATGGTAAGATACAGAAGCTCGAGCAGATCTACCTCCATTCTCTTCCAATCAAGGAGTACCAGATCATAGATTTACTCGTCGGTCCTTCATTGAAAGACGAAGTGATGAACATCATGCCGGTTCAGAAACAAACCAGAGCCGGTCAGAGAACGAGATTCAAGGCCTTCGTCGTTGTCGGAGATAGTAACGGTCACGTCGGATTAGGAGTGAAATGCTCCAAGGAAGTCGCGACGGCGATCAGAGGCGCGATCATTCTGGCGAAATTGTCTGTGATTCCGATTCGGAGAGGTTACTGGGGTAACAAGATCGGGAAGCCGCACACGGTGCCGTGTAAGGTGACCGGGAAATGTGGATCTGTTACCGTGCGTATGGTTCCAGCTCCGAGAGGTTCTGGTATCGTGGCGGCTAGAGTTCCTAAGAAGGTTCTTCAGTTCGCTGGAATTGATGATGTCTTCACTTCTTCCAGAGGATCCACCAAAACTCTCGGAAACTTCGTTAAGGTCTGTACTCTCTTCCTTTTATCCAAATTAAATATTTATCAACAATGGCTATTTTGTTTGATGGACATTTTGATATATTTAACTGAAAACTCTGAAATTAGGCAGAAGTTAACCAACTCTTTACCAATTTCTTGAATTTCATATTGGAGATTACTGTTCCAATGAACTTATTGCTTTGATAGTTCTAAATTCTCTCACTAATGTAATCAGCATGTTTGTTTTATTTGCGCAGGCAACATTTGATTGTCTTCAGAAGACTTACGGATTCCTTACACCGGAATTTTGGAAAGAGACGAGATTTGTTAAATCACCATACCAAGACTTCACTGATATCTTGGCTAACAAGTCTCTTCCTAGCAGCACCAAGATCACCACCGAGGTTGAAGACCAAGTCTAAACTCTAAAGTAATACCACACTCACTCATCTTGGATGAAGCTCAGATTTTGTTCCAAGCTTGGTTTTTTGAATCATATCGGTTATAATGTTTTTTATTTTATTTTGGTTATCTAGATCTTTGTTTGGAAATTTGAATGCGATAATACGAATTTTTCTTTGGTTTCCACAGCACGAAACAATCAAAATGACTCTGAATATTTGATCTTTACTCTTCCTGCACTGAATTGTACATGCGTTGTTATAATAAACAAAACCAAGTTAGTAAGTAGTAAACGAGTAATCTTTCCTTAGTCAGACATTACTTTTTTTTTACTAAAGCGCTTGTTAAGAAGTCTTGGTTAATGGACCTTTCTCCTTATAAAAAGTGACAAGCCCATTTTTGAAATGATGTAGGGCCTTATTAAGCCCAGTATGATTTTTTTTAATTGGTTGGTTTCAGGAATCGAATTTGGTATATATACGGAAAGATTGACTTTGAATAGAAGGAATAACGTTGACTTTTGGGTTTACGATTCTTCCAAATTTCTTCTTCTTCTTCTTCTTCCCGGTTCTGCGAATTTTCTGTTCATCTAAATTCTCGGAATCTGGGTCTGGGGACTATTTATTTTTTTTTTTTTAACTTTTTTTACGGCGTGTCTCTCTTTCGTCGGGAAACTCTAAGGATTTATCTAAATTTTTGTTAATCATCATCTGTCTCTTGCAACATTTTTTTTTGTTTTATTAATTTTTATCAAATCTTCGTCGGAATTATTATAATTGTTTGGTTGTGTATTCTCTGTCGTAAGGAAGCACTCTGTCAAAATGGGAACTCCGGAATTTCCAGATCTGGGTAAACACTGCACCGTCGATTACTGCAAGCAGATCGATTTCTTGCCTTTCACTTGTGATCGATGCCTTCAGGTCCCCCTTTCTCTTTATTGATTCACGATTTGATCAATTCGACCCCAATGTCATTCCTCTGACCCTCTCCCTCGTTTCTAAAATTCTTAATCTCTGGTCAACCAGGATTTTTCATCTATCTATGTTCAATTTCATTTGAATCTGGTTTTTAACTAATTCCCAAGATATTCGATTTTTTCACTGTGATTTGCTTACAATCTGGTCTTTTTAATGTTCATACAATAGTTGATGCTAAATGATTGAAAAGACGAATCAAATATTTGGAGGAAGCTTATCAAAACCTTTTTTTTTTTTTTTAATACTTGAAGGTGTTTTGTCTGGATCATCGTAGCTATATGAAACACGATTGTCCAAAAGGAAACAGAGGAGATGTCACTGTGGTCGTTTGCCCATTATGTGCTAAAGGAGTGAGGTTAAACCCTGACGAAGATCCAAACATCACCTGGGAGAAACATGTTAATTCAGACTGCGATCCATCTAACTACGAAAAAGCTGTGAAGAAGAAGAAATGCCCTGTTCCAAGATGCAGAGAACTCTTGACGTTCTCTAATACTATAAAATGTCGAGATTGCAGCATCGATCATTGTTTGAAACATCGCTTTGGACCTGATCATTGTTGTTCTGGACCCAAGAAGCCTGAATCCAGTTTCTCATTCATGGGTTTTTTGAGTACAAACACAAAAGAACCTCCTGCATCGTCATCTTCGAGTTGGGCTAGTCTTTTTAGCAGACTTGGTAACGATATTAGCCAGAAGTTACAGTTTTCGAGTGGCAGCGATGGTAGTTCAGAGAAAACGCAGGAGAGGAACGGAAAGCAGAATTGTGGCAAAGTTACGGTTGATGTTTGTCCAAAATGTAGCAGAGGGTTTCGTGATCCCAAGGATCTACTGAAGCATATCGATAAGGATCATCGTGGCACTTCTAAAGCTTAGAAAAGGATGTGAACTGGTTTCATATTTGTGATTGTATCATTCTTTGTAACAGCTATGTAAAAAAATTCATATTCTTTGACCTCGGTTTGGTTTTCCTGGTCTAGAAGATATTGCAACCTGTAATGAAATTGGATGCAAATTGTTTTTTGTGGATTTTTTTCTTAACGTCGGAATTAATTTGGTTACTGATTCCAATATTTATAGTTATAAATCTATATTTCTCCCAGGTGGTTATTTAAAATATTTTTTTTTGGATAATAACTAAGTTAAAATAAAATTAGTATAATTATCGTAAACAGCATCAAAATGAGGCTTTTTTCTACAAAAATTACTTATATTTAAATGAAAAAATCACTCAAAAATACTAAAACTAAACTTGCATCATTCAAAACTAAACCATAAACACTAAACCTAACCCATAATCTCTAATTCTAAAATAGTTAGTCTAGTCCAACTAGTTTAACTTTTGAAAAGCAATTATTATGTTTGTGGTATTTTAACCAAAAATTTTGATGATATTTTTGGAACGTAAAACTAATAAATTTTGAAAATATGATATTTGGAGGAATTTTAAATAAAGTAATCTAAAAATATTTCAAAGTTAGTATTTTTATTTTATTTTCCAAGCAAATAAAATTGAATTGCTTGAACTGGAAATGCCACATGGGATGTTGAACCCTTTTGTATCTGCATTTTTTTTTGTCGACCCCCTTTTATATCTGCATATAGAGTCCGAGACAACAAAACCGAAGGTAAAAATATCGTATTTTGTGATAAATTATAAAATGTGTATCAAATAAACTAAAAAAAAAGAAATGAATAAAATGGTTTTACCCTTCCTATACTATATTCGAATTCATGAACCCCTTAACAAATCCAACCGGGACATAGCCGTTGATGGGATGCTGATTTGATTTTAGTTTACTCGGTTTATAAAATAAAGTAACTTTTTATTATTCTGTAGGAATGATAACCTTTCCATGACAATAAATAAATACACTACATAAAAGATTAAAAGGTTTTTCTTACCAAAAGAAAAGATTAAAAGGTTTTTGCTAAAAAAAAAAAAACTAAATTATCTATGTATACTTTTGCCCTTCAGAAAATGCTAACGTAAGCCATACAACCAGTTTAGAGTGTTAACATGAGCCTGGTTTGTTTTTCTAATCAACTCTTTAGTCAATTTTTTTTTTCTTTCGTCCTAAAAAAACAATTGGCTCTTTTGGAAAACATATGAAGAGGACTAATACATTGCTTAGAGTAATGATTAGAGTTGGAGTGCAGCGATCGACATTATCAATCCTCGTATTATATAATATTTTTTTTTATTTTATTGTTCTCATCATTGATTATCAACCAAGAAGAGAAAAATATGGTTATTTAATATCTTGAGGATTTGTTTTCAATTTTTATCGGCATTAATCAAAAATTTTAGTTAGTGTTTTTTTTTTCCGAAGAAGTCATGATTAATGATCATCTATGAGAGATCTTGATGTTCTCTCATATTCAAACCATTTCAAATCCTAAATGGTTTGATACCGAAATTAATGATCAGCTATGTTTGAACATGCAGCCATTTTAATATATTTAACTCATCAATTTCAAAACTTATGACATCCACATATAATTGATCATGTGATTGGACATATGATTCTTCTTATATAAAGCACCTTCCATTACTAACTACATAATAAATAATAGAATCTTTTAATAAATACTACTAAAAAAATCAGTTACTACCTAATAAATAATATAAATTTTTAATAAATACTACTTAAAAAGAGTTTTGTTTTTTAATATTATATTTTTACAACAAAGCTATTAGTGGCATTTTTTAGAAAATTAAACAGATAGTTATTTTTAAGATTTTTTATTAAGTGTGGTAATTAAAAAAATTTCTCATAAGCAATGTGTGGAATTTGGGCATTTTATATTTTATCATTACTAAATTCTTAAATGCTAAATTCAAAACTGCGCCATTGGACACTAAAACTATCTTCAAGCGTCACATGTTTTGGAATTTTGCCTTACCATGTCATACAAGTTTAATTCCCTTGAGCTATCCACTTCTCGAAACATTTCAAGCAAAAGTTGTGCTCACATGGTATCTACTACACACAAGTACAATAAATCCTTAAATACTAATCATCATTTTCAATTAGCTATTCTACTAATCAAGCTTAACAACACCCAATACAACTATAAATATCAGACTAATTTCAAATAACAATAGTATGATACTTCAAAAATACTAATCATCCTTGTTAAGAACACATAAATTAGCGTTTCTACTCTTAATCACAAAATTCAACAAGTCATCTACACAAATAACGAGATTCAGCAAGTCATTACCACAAATCACAATTCACAAGTATATAATATATAGATTTGAACTACCGGAACGGCGGAATCTTGTGATTGGGAGTAGTGTATCTTGATGTTGAATATTATCTTGATGTTGATGGAATATAGTGTATCAATGTAATTATACAATGAAAATCATAGCGAACTATTCTTTAGATTTTAAAACAACATGTTTATACTAGTTTAAACACTTTACAACAAATCAACGGCGGCTGGGGGATCATTATATTAATCATCAAATGGCATTGACCACGTGTGCCAGGTTTTGTTGATGTTACCGCCGTTGGATCTGTATTAATTATGGATAGAAGAAGAGAACACCGTTGATATAAATATTCAGACGCAGACTCAAGCCACACTGGATAAAAAGTTCTTCGCAGACGCTGGAGATATATTACGAGCGAAGACTTGACTATCTCAGCGTTGACGTGAGGAGACACACACCGGTCGTACGTAGACTCTACCACACTAGATAATTTAGACTCAGCTGAGCTCCCATTGTTCTTGCTTTCTTCCTCTCTCTATATTCTTAGAAAAATAAAAGGACGATGGACATTCATAAGAGTCAAATTCATCGAACGGAGATGGCGGTTGGAACGGTGGCGTCTGGTGAATGTGGCGATATACTGAAGGCACGTACCGACAAGAGAGAGTATCGTAGGATTGTACTCAAAAATTCGCTCGAGGTGTTGTTAATCAGCGACCCAGAGACTGACAAGGTAAGCTCTCGATTCACTGTTTGTTAATATTGGTGCTAAAGGAGTAGCTGAAGAAGATGTCTATTTTTGCGTGCTTGCCTTCTAGTGTGCTGCTTCAATGAACGTTAGCGTCGGCTCGTTCTCTGACCCGGAAGGATTGGAAGGCCTAGCTCATTTCCTTGGTACTCTTTTTTTTCGTTCTTTCCTTTTAATGGTTCCTTTCATAATTCTAGCAGGAATCAATCACTGATCTGGTTCTATTCTGTAGACTGAAGTCGATTTTAGTGTTGAGTTTGATGGTGATATTGAATAACTTCTGATTTTATGCTGCTTTTTTTTTTATTGCCCAGAACATATGCTATTTTATGCAAGTGAGAAATACCCAGAGGAAGATAGTTATTCCAAGTACATTACAGAGGTAACCTTCTTCTCTGTCTCTGTATAATAACCCTGCTCATAATTGATGTTCTAGTATCGGTCTCCTCTTTTTTACTTTAAGGGAAAAGATAAAATTGGAGTGTGCTTATTCGAATTTATTTGTTTTTAGCATGGAGGGAGCACAAATGCGTATACATCCACTGAAGATACAAACTACCATTTCGATATCAACACAGATTCTTTTGATGAGGCTCTGGACAGGTAGACTTGCATTTGATTTTCTCTTCTCCTTACTAATGCTATTTGATTTGCCTTTTGAAAAATTCGTTACTATGCTGTTATTGCCTAACCAGGTTCGCACAGTTCTTTATCAAGCCATTGATGTCTGCTGATGCTACCATGAGGGAAATCAAGGCTGTCGACTCTGGTTAGCTTTTGACTTTCTTTATAACTTCCCTGTTGATATTTATTAATATAACAAGTTCTCTCTCTCATCCAGAGCATCAGAAAAATTTGTTGTCAGATTCTTGGCGTTTGAGCCAGGTATTGACCCCTTCTCTCAATAACAAACACAGAACTATATCTATCTATTTTGTTATTGGCACTGAAGAATGCATTTCACTGATTTTCCTCTCAACTTGTACTACTTATATCTAATCCCCTCATCTATATTTGACAGCCCACAAGTCTGTTGATGTGTGTGTAGCATCTAACTTGAGTTTTGTCTTCCTTTTTTCAGTTACAGAAGCATCTAAGTAGAGAAGACCATCCATATCACAAATTTAACACAGGTTTATGTTCTACTTATTCTTAACTGGTATTGTTATGCATAAGAAACGTCAGTGGTCCTTCCCAACTTTTTTTTATCCTACTTAGAAAGTCATAATCTTGCATAGGGAATATGGATACTCTTCATGCACGACCGGAAGCAAAGGGAGTCAATACAAGAAGTGAACTAACTAAATTTTATGACGAACACTATTCTGCCAACATCATGCATCTGGTTGTTTATGGCAAGGGTAGGTTTTGGAGCTACCCATACTCAAATTTTATTTTATCTTCTTCAGAAAACAAAATTATATAGTATGTATAACATTTATACATCGCTTTGCTCTGCATGTCTTCAGAAAACCTTGATAAAACTCAAGGTCTAGTGGAAGAGTTGTTCGAGGATGTTCGAAATACCAACAAGGGTATTCCTAGATTTCCTGGTCAGCCGTGTACTCTAGACCATTTGCAGGTTTTTGTCCTTTATTTTAGCTTTAGCATTTACAGGAAACGAAGATAAATTCATGCTAGAACGTTTCTGAGGTAGTATATTCTGTGGTGATGGTTTTCATTGGTTTTAGGTTCTTGTGAAGGTTGTTCCAATTATGCAGGGTCACGAGCTTAGTGTTATATGGCCTGTGACTCCTAGTATCTATCATTATGAAGAGGCACCATGCAGGTATATTGGTGATCTAATTGGTCATGAAGGTGAAGGAAGTTTGTTTCATGCCTTAAAAATCTTGGGTAGGTTTTATTTAGGGCTAAATTAATAAACTCTTGAGCATACTCTATCTTAAAGAGGTAACAAATTGCAAAGTAGGCTTCAGATCTCTTATTTTTGTTTTCAAACTTATATCTTAATTTTCTTAATAGATAAGCTGTCGTTGATAATAGTGACGAGATGTTAAAGATTATTTTTCCTCTGTATTAGTTTTGAAGGTGTTTCTTGCTTGATCTGAACTCTCCTTGTTTTTATC